CCCATGGGCACTCTGCAGGGACAGCTACTGTCTGTCTCCTCCCCACCTCTACCACCACACCCACAGAACCACCCCCTTTCAGGTGACCCCACACTCCCGAGTCCTCTCTCTCTTGGCACTCCAGAGGTACCTGCCATGGAGCACATGCAACTCCAGAGGCCCTGAAGGCTGCACAGTGTGTGCTCTTACAGAGCTCCATAAAACCTGGGTCTGTTGACTCCTGCCCCCCTCAAGGGTCACAGAACCAGCCTGGGGCCTCCATCTTGGCAAAGTGACAAGGTGGATGGCAGACGCCATTCCTGCTGTAAGGAACCAACTAGAGTGGAAGAGAGGACCCATTCAGACGGCGGGAAGAGCATGGTCCTCAGCCATAGTAAGTGCCAAGGTGGAGAAACTCCAAGAGCCCGGGAGGCAGACCAACAACAGGAGAAGGGACTCGGGCTCCAGGCAGGTGACCAGAGCACAGGGCACAGGTGAGAGCAGGGCAGGACAGCACTGAGGGTTCTCAAAGGAAAATGAAACAGGGTACCCTTGTATGATGTCCCTGAATACCTTCCAGGACAATCTGGACACCCCAGCAGGGCATTTCCCTAGTGCTAAGCCTCAGGCATTCCAAATCCAAAAGCGGCCCCAGCTATACACTGACCCATCCTTGTGGAGGTTCTGTGGTTGGGATTGGGGTCCCTGATGACTTCATGGCTGTGACATGCTTGTTGCCTGAGAAAGTTTCTGTGCCAAGGCCTAGGATGCCTGGTTGCTGTGGTAATGCCCGCCACGCTAGAGTCTTATCAGCTTCGACCTTAATCTTAGGCACATAACTCCTGGGAATAAAGGAATTTGTTTGCTTGATAACTACAATGTTTCACCAAGCTCTGGTGCTCCTGGATCTGCCCGCCTTACAGTAACATCAGACAATGRACTTTCTTGAGAGCTGCACATAGCTCCTGACATTGCATATTRCAACTGTAAAATGTAACTGCAGAATAAGCAACCTTACTGATATGCTAAACAATAATGTAGTTATGGCACTAATGACCTAATGTGACTTATTGGTATGAATAAATGTGTCTGCTGGGAAAAAGTCCACTTTGCCACCTTCCCTGCCTCTGCACCTTGTCTCTGTGTCTCCTCTTTATTATTATTTCTTTATACATCCTGGTGTCATCCAGGATTGAGCAGAGGTGGTCAATAAATGAATTGCAGGAACAACCCTGAGGCTGAACAAACAGCAGGGCCCTGAACTGTGCTTTGACCCTCATGGCAGCCACCCAGCTGCTGACCACCTGACAGGAGGCTCCCACATGCCCCGGCATGTTTTTGCTTTGGTCAATTTTAGCACAGCAAAATTTTGTTTTTGCAGAACAGGTAGAGTATTTGTGACCACAGATCTGGGACCCCAAACAACAATGAAGACACTTCCTTCTGCAAAAAAAGTAAACCCTAAATAACTGACAAACTTCTCAAGGACCATCTATTGGGAGCTGGCACCACTTGGGGGCTGGGGATGTGGCTC